GCCTATTCCAATGCCCAACAACCCCTTCTGGAAAGAAATGCTTCCTAATAGCCAGTCAAGACCTTCCCTGGCACAACTTGAGGCTAGAGTGCTATTAAAGGAATTTAAGCTCAAATATTCAATACTTGGTGGACAATCAGCCCTATAACTTTAATTCAGAAATTTGTCACCACAAAAACTTAGTTTAGAATCCACGTGGCTGGAGAGGTCCTGGAAAAAATGCCTTGAAAAGTTTCCCTCACTGCCAGGACAAACTGTGAAGGAAACTCATGTATTACAGGGGATCTGCCTTATCTATAATACTTTTATTTAGTCCCTTTCTTAGTATTAACTATATTCAGCGTATGTGCCTGGCAAAATCAGAATTATGTTTCTCTGCTTAAGTATTTCAGAAAATTTTCTACTTAGTGCTAGCACTGAAAGTGCTGAAGTTGTCTACTTTCAGACAGTTGTGTGTTCCTCCACTTATGGAAGATACTTGTTCGTTAAAAGCATATAGTAGGTTAAACTGTAAAAACTTGCTTATATTTAGAAGTTTTCATGCAAAAGTGCACTGAACATGTAAAAATTTCAAGTTCACTTGAAACTAGCCTGTATGTAATCAGTGTTGCAGTGTTTGAAAAATATTCTGTGATCCATTTACAGATAGATAAAAAAGCCATGCACAAGGTTGGAATGGTACAGAGGGTTCAAAATGAGGTGAAAATACACTGTCAACTAAAGCATCCATCTATACTTGAGGTAAGAATCATGTTTTTGTAGAAAGGACTGTATATGTGATTTGCTGTTTTGTCTACAAAGTGTATTTCAATTTTTTCATTGTTTTATGTTCTAGCTTTATAACTATTTTGAAGATAGCAACTATGTGTATTTGATACTTGAGATGTGTCACAATGGTGAAATGAGCAGATACATAAAGAACAGAAAGAAACCCTTTTCAGAAGAAGAAGGTGAGATGTTTTTCTGTGTAGCTCTCTTTGCATTAATGTTTTGTCTGAATAAATATTTAATTCTAGTGAAAGGCTATTTAGAACTGCCATCACTCTGAGCCAGTTCTATATCTTAAAATCTTACAGTAAGTGATAATCTAGGGATTAATTACTGTGATGTATATTCACTTGAATACTTTTGTTTATGCCATTTCACAGTAGTTTGTGCTATTTGGGTTTTTTTAAAAAAATACAGTGAATTTAGAAGGTAGAGCTTACCTTTGTACATTATGTTGAAGTACAGGCCAAGACTGGGAGGTTCCACAGAGGAAAACTGACAACTTCACATCCACAGATTTGCGTTCTTTGTTGCACCCATTCACCTCAGTATTACTGTATTACATGTCACCAGTTAGCCTTCCAGGTTATAGTTTGCCTTATGTAGTATTGTTGGAAAGACTTCCTGTGTTGCAAGCTGTGTGTGGAAATGAAGATAATGCAGGTAACCATGTTGCTGAAGGGCTGAGTTAGCAAGGATATATCCAATTTGATAATCCATCTAGAATTTTTGAAGGACTGGCATCTGAGGAGAAATTCTACTATGGTTTTACTTCTGTTTCTTATGGAAAGCATTGAAAATCCTATCCTTCTGTCAGAGTGTATTGTAAGAGTAATTCTAAAGCTCTTTAAATTGGCTCTTGAATAGTGTTTTGAGAAAGAAGTCTTGCAAAAAAATTAATTGCACTTATGAATTTACTAATGTTTCATTTTCTTACAGTTGAGAGTGAGAAGATTTCAGTTAGAACATGGACCACTGAAAGCCTAACCAGAACAGAAAAAAAAAAAAAAAAAAAAAAAGACAGCGAAGCAAGCTGCTGTGTCTGATGTTTTGAGACCACAGCCAAACAAGCTGTTTGATTTCAGCTGATCTGGATTCAGTGGTTATTGCCTCTACTGCTTCCAGACTTGCCATGTTGGTCATCTCTTGATCAGTTCTTCTGGTTCACCTGTTTCTCTGTCAGTTTCTAATCTAATTCTGCGAAGCTATTACATATATATGGATTTTATTGAACCCAGATCACAGGGCTGGATTAAAGGGCTACTGCTCTACAGGCATCATCTGTTTCATTCAGATCTGCTCCAGCAGAAATAGTTCATCAGATGGGTACCTTAGTTCTAAAAGCTCAAAAACCGCTGACCTGGATAAAGAAGTCTCTTCCTATGAGGAGTGTTTTCTACTAACATTTATTACTCACTGGTCTTTAGCCTCTACTAAGAGAAGAAGGAGGATTGTAAATGCTTTGCTCTAGAAAGAATAATTGTTAAAATTGCTGTAACTGCAACATCATAACAGATGATGCTATTTCAGCCTGGATGAAGTTTTGTTATTCCTGCTGTAAGCGAAAACTCATGAACATTCCACAAAATTCTAATGTACTAGGAAGACTGTCCCAGTATCGTGACGTTAGTATTTAAGTTCCTCAAGAACTTCTACTAGTCTTGCCAGTTTGCTAACGATAAACCAAATATAATCCAAATTGTCTCCTATGTTCTATAATCCGCACATAGTAATGCTGTTTGATTTAATGTATCTGCTGTTTCTGAAAGTGTGGAGCAACATAGCTTTTTAAATTCTAATTTTAAAGAGGTTAGGCCAATTGAAAATGTCTTGTTTACGTTATTCTGTTAACAGAAACAAATCTGATTACTGCATTACAGAACATTTATTTTATAAACTGTCTTAGAACATACTCATGCCATATTGCTTAAAGCAAAAAGTAGAAAGTTAATTCCAGTCTCATTAGCATCACACAAACATCCTTTTAACATCCTCATTATTTAAAGAAATAAAAGCTGATCCAATAGTAGACTTCAAAAAGTTATTTTCACAGCTATGATTTCAGTTAAAGACTAAACCATCTGGTTTTGTGTTTTGACAGCCCGACACTTCTTGCATCAAATTATCACAGGTATGCTGTATCTTCATTCTCATGGAATACTGCACCGGGACCTCACCCTTTCTAATATCTTACTCACCAATAATATGAATGTCAAGATTGCTGATTTTGGACTAGCAACTCAGTTGAAAATGCCTCATGAAAAGCATTATACCATGTGTGGAACTCCAAATTACATTTCTCCAGAAATAGCCACAAGGAGTCCACATGGACTTGAATCTGATGTGTGGTCTTTGGGCTGTATGTTTTACACTCTTCTTATCGGAAAGCCACCTTTTGACACAGACACAGTCAAGAACACGCTGAATAAAGTAGTATTAGCAGATTATGAAATGCCAGCCTTTTTATCAAGAGAGGCACAAGACCTTATACATAGGTTACTTCGCAAAAATCCAGCAGATCGTTTGAGCCTTTCCTCAGTGTTGGATCATCCTTTTATGTCCAGGTGTAGCTCTGCACGGAGTAAAGATTCAGGAACTTCAGAAGATTCTATGGACAGCGGAAATGGTACCATCTCTACAACCTTCACTGGTTCTTCCAGCATCAGTACCAGCGGTTGCCTGAAGGAGAAGAAGAAACTGTTAGTTGGACAGCCGCTCCCAAATAAAATTACTTTTTTTCCGAAAAACAAGAATTCCATGAATTCTACTTCATCTGTAGATGGAAGCGGGTCTTTTCATCAGTGGGGGATTCAGGGAAAGGAAACAGGCATAAGTGGCAGGGGAAGAACCATGCAGCTTGCTGAAGAGAGACCACATTCACGCTACCTCCGAAGAGCCCACTCTTCAGATAGGTCTGGCACATCCCGTAGTCAGACTCAAGGCATGTCAAATATTGTTGACAGATGTCACTCTATGGAACTGCTTTCGAAGCCTAAAGTAGGAACAAGGGAAAATACAGAATGCTTTTCATCTGCAAACAGCTATACTGATATAGGAGAAATATTTAAGGAGAAGACTTCTAGTAGCTCTGGTTCTTTTGAAGGGGAAATATCTCCACCTGTAAAAGACCAATCACAGTAAGAATCAGTTTTTATTAAGATAAATTTTAGAGCTGCCTTATGTTAAATGCATGATTTTTCCTGTAACAAAGCTGTAGTAAGTGCCCAAAGTATCAACACGTGTAGCTTGAATACCAGATAGATGATATTGCTATGTAGAGGTTTACCTCCCCACCGTCCCTGTCTTTAAGTTCATAGATGCAGCCTATCAGCTAGCTAGATGGTAGCTTTTATTTATCCTGGAAATACTCCATTATTGATTTACTTCTATGTGCAGCAAGTTGAGGATTTATTTCTCCACAGTAACTGTAGTAGAGAGAACTGCTAATTGCTCTTTGTAGAAGAGAGACAGTCTAGGGTAGAAGACATTCGGAGTGTGATAACCAACATTTTTATTTGCTGCTCTGTTGTTTTTTTTTTCTGTTATGCTTAGACAAGGCAAAGGGGGGAAAAAAAGTACAAAATTAAATTATGGATTATAAAACTGTTACCCCAGAAAGGAAAATAAAACTCAAAGATAACTCTTTGAAACTTAGTTCTGGCCTTAGTTATAGTTTCTGGGTGAAAATCTTGGCTTCTTTCTATTCATTGATGGACTTCCCCAGTTGATAAAACCAGCTCAGGTATCAAATCTCCCAGCGATGCTGGGATGTTTGCTGTGATGCTGGAGGCCTCATCTTTGCCTTCTGTGCACTGCTATGCAACAAGAGCCCTTCTTTGTGATAAATTTAATCTGTCCATGCTCAGAAGTTTGCTTTGTTTTTTCCATCAGCAGAATATCAAAGAATGTTTTACTTTAATATAAGGACTATTGCATATCTTAGTTCTAGCATTTCTCTCCACACTAAAAAGTTGCAACTTTGTTATGGTTTCATATGTTTTTCTTTTTACAAATCAGTTCAGGGGAAATGCAAATGAGCACTTTGCCCTGTAGAAAAAGTAAATGGAGCAAGAGGTTTTTCTTGTGTAGCCTCTGTTCAGCAAGTTCAGTGGGCATGTGCATTCTTTCTAGTTTGAGAAAT